AAATTCAGTTGTATCAGGACTTGTAATTTTAAAAACACGAAGCCACCACTTACGGAATAGTTTTCCTTAAAACAGATATATTTAATTTTTAAAAAGTATTATTTCATAATGTATTTTTCTTCTAATTTATTTTATTTATTTATTTAAAATGAACGAATTTTATGACTATTTCTTAAAAAAAAAAAAAAACACGTTAGGAGTGCCTTCACTGGGAGGCTTCTCCAATCACGTATTCACGCTAATCCCGGAGAGGAGGTTCGCTAACGAACATCACATTTACAAAATATGCCAAAAGGCATTTGTAAAATTGCTCAATAAATAAATTTATTATTATTATTATTATTATTATATCTTAAAATTAATAAAATCTCCAGCAATCGAAATATAATGGAGTAATAAGAAACGTAAAATGGAGTGTTGAAGTAGAAAATTAATGAAGGAAAACGAGAACAAAATAAATGAATCTAAAAAGAAAACCATGATTCTGTGCATTTCGACATACAAGCCTTTTTCCATCCCAGAATGATGGCAATACTCAATGACGCGCTTTTACACTGTTTTGTTTCTGAGGTTTACTTTCCAAATTTATTTTTTTAACAAGGTTCCTCTTTTCATCCACTTTTTCATAATTTCTTATAAAGCCATTTTTTTTATATAGATATTTTATCTTTATTTTTTTCGTCAAACAAATTGGCTTGACATTTTCTTTTATACAGCCTATCGCTTCTTATAAGCGATCTTCTTCGTTTTCCATTTTTTTTTTTTCAACTTAATTTAGTGGATAGTTCGCTGAAAAATGTTTTAACTTCTTTTTTTTAAATTTAAATGTACACGCGCATTTTCACTAATTAATGTATTATAAGATAATGAATGTTTTTTCGTTCAGATAATTTTGCCAAAATATTATGATAGGTTCTAATGATATATCACCGGCCTTGATGAACGTAGCATTTCACATCTATAAGTAAAAATAAACAAACAATGACATAGAATGCAATTGTAGAAGTAAAGCTTAAACTCCTGATTTTAAATAATATCAACTAACTTTTAATTTTATTTTTTTATTCATACTTCTCAAATGTATGTTGATGGTCACGAAAAGGTTCACATAGGACTGTTATTAAAACGTATCAAATAACTTTCTAAGTAATAGGTACCACAAAAAATAAAAAAATTAAATTTCTAATATATTACTGTATGAAAGACGATTAACTCAATTTCTTTTTGGTTTGCGAAAGTCAATTCTTCCTCCGACTGTAATTATTTAATTTTTTTTTATAATTCAATTACTTATTCAACGTTTAGGACTTAGCTCTAACTCTTAGAATTTTCTTTTTGTCGTTCTTAAATTTTTCACATAAGTATAAATCTATAAATAATTATATTGCCATATTTTTTAATTATTTGTTACAATTGCTCTACTAAGGAAAATTCTTAAGGTCTTTGTATAGTTACTGTCGATGAAAATTTAAGGACCTCAAGACGGAATAATGGGAGTACATGTTTCAATTATAAAATGTAATGGATCTTCGAAATATGGAATACATTTTTTCTCTACTCCTTCTCTCCTCCATCCTCGCCTACCACTAAGCTGTGAGAGGTTTTCGTCAGTCTGATCCACACCTCTATATCTAGGACCAATGGCTTTCTTCTCGTCCAATTCAATCCTCTCCGGTCTGATATTTTCTTTATTCCGCTTTCCCAGGCCTTCCTAGGTCGCCTTCTAGGTCTTCTACCTCACAACTGTGTCTCATAAATGAGCCTTGCCAATCTGTCTTCTGATATTCGAGAGACGTGTCCGAACCACCTTAGCCAGTAGTCCGTGGTACAGACCCCTTTTTATTGAATCATTAACATCCCTCTGAAACTTCATAAATAGTTTCATCTCATCGTAACCTACAACTATTTTATTTACCAAAATTCTTTGAATTGGGGCGTTTTCAATCTGGAGGGGGGCAAACTTTGTCTACTTAATTAGGTACTAAAAACTCGTAAATAACCATTTGATTTCTACTTGAATCGTAAGATAATTTGATCACAAAATCGAGAAAAAAGGTGGCCTTAAAAAATATTAAGCCGTTTGGCGTGACCTACACCTCCAAAATTTCAAAATAACTAGTTATATAGGATAAATGGCCTATACCACAATTTTTCCTCGATTTAGTGATCAAATTATGTTACTATCCAAGTTGAAAGCAAATGAGCTTTTAGGGGTTTTTAGTACCTAATTAAATATACAAAGTTCGTCCCCCCCCCAGATTGAAAACGCCCCAATTCCAATAGTTTTCGCAAATAAAATAGTTGTAGATTACGATGATATGAAACTATTTACGAAGTTGCATGCAGATGTTAATAATTCGATAAAAAGGGGTCTGTACTACGGACTATAGTGTTCTTCTATTTTTTCTTTGCATCCTGCAGACCCAGGTTAGATCGCTCAGTGCTGTTCCTCATTGACTCTCTCCTTGTCTAACCCTCGAACTTACGGAGGTAGCGCATCTCCAACACTTGGAGTCGGCTCTTGTGTTTCCTTGTTGGAGTTCAAGACTCGCTAGACTACGTCAAGATTGAAAGACAAATATTTTTGAATATTGTCTCTTTTTTAGTTTTGGGAACTTCTTTTCTTCCCCAAAAACCTTTTCTAATGACATTAAAACACCTACCGGCTGCCTTAGTCCTCTCTCTAATTTCTCCACTTCCTCAGCCATTTCATTCAAATATGGTCCCAGATATTTGAAGTCGATTACCTGGTCAATTTGTGTTCCATCCAGATTACTGACACGGTCTTCTTCGTTGATCCTCGTTCCGACAAGCATGATCTCTTTGTCACGTTTATCTCGATGCTTATTTCACTTGGTCGATCTCCCAAAACGTACAGATTAAACTGAAGAGTCTTTCCATTGTTTCCAAAGACTAGCTCCGCATAGACCAGCATAATGAACTGGGTAGGAAGCAGTCTTTCTGTAGGGGCCTCAAAATGAAATGGACTCATTTCTTAAAATATAATTTAAATAATTAGCTTCTAAATGAGCGAATTATAATTATTAACCAATAAATATTCTATTTAGATACAACAAAATGTAAATAATTTATTTTATTCTAGAGGGACTTCCGACGGTTGACCGATGCGGGGGTGGTCGGTGGAAATTCTTTGAGTTCCTCCCAGCTAAGTCCTGAATAATGGAGGGTGTGATATAGGATTGAACGCCCTTCCCACATAGGTAAAACTCTCCCTAAGGTAAAACGCTCATTATACGGATGTAAAATAGTCCTCCGTTCGAGTCTCCGGGTGGGGAATGCTTTAGGGGATTCATGGCACAAGTAGAATTGGAAAAAAATACTTTTCATATTTAAAATAAATCTACCTTGCAGTTTTTAAATCTGATGGTACAGTAGTGTAGATAGATAGCAGCGTCTGTTGGGACATCATGAGGACAAGGCCATTGACGGTAAGTGATAACAAGGCGTCCCAACTTTAGTAATACTTTTAGTCAACATTTAAGTAGTAATTAAAAAAGAAAAAAGTAAAGGTCAAATCTATTATATTATTGTTCCATTTCGCATGTCTTGTAAGAAAAAAAAATATAACATGTTGTTTTGCTAGAAAATGCTAGACGAAATGATTTTAATTATAACTATGATGTAGTTTAATTAAAATCAATGATTAGTGTATACGATTAAAATAACGAAAAACCAGATTAAAATACTTGAGAAAATGTTTATTATGATATTTGTAACGTTCAGGATATAATGAGAATATTACTAAAAAAAAAGTCTTAAGTCTCTAATTTATAGAGCTGGTAATATTTTTACTCAGACCCACTGGCGGATTTACGGGGAGGACTTTCGGCCTGAAGCTCCCTCTCCCCCCCCCCCAAAATATAGAATATAGAAATATAGAAAAAAATATTAAAAACTATCTCTTAAAGTATTATTGTTCGTGTAATTACGTTTAATAGGACTTCAAGAATCACTTAAACACCGTTTCATATAGGTAGTTCATTTCGTTCCTCTTTTTTTTTTTTAAACTAATTATAGTTATATATATATGAAAAAAAATTTCTGACAAAGTGAAGTGAAAAAACGACATTCTATGAAATAAAAGAATGACTAAAGGACGAATCATATTGTAATAATAGATTTTAGAAATTTTATGAAGCGGTGCATGTTTTGCATGATCTTGAAAATGGCTCCTGAAGCCGAAACGTCGAATAAAGAATACATGATATAAAAACTGTGTACATTTGGTGACCTTTGGCCTAAAATATATATAAAAAAATTATGAAAAAAAATCTTTCGGGCTGAAGCCTCCCCCCCAAATTAAATCCTGAATCCGCCTATTACTCAGGTAGATGTATATGTAATTTTACCAAAACATTTCCCAATTAGTTAAGTATTTTACACAATTTAGCTTGTTGATGTCCTTAATTTTTAATAACTGGAGTTCTTAATGTATTTTATAAGATTTATTTGTTACCAAATTGTGCCTTTGGGAACCAAAAGTTTGAATATTAACTAAGAAAACATTAAAGGCAATGGTGCAATTATAGCAGGCTTTATGGATTAAAAGAAAAAATAAATACTTTATATTAAAAATTTATCCTGTTAAAACAACAAGTTAAATTTGCCATCGTCAAAAAAAAAAGTGTTGGTATATATGTTAGGTAATTTTTTGAGCATTTAAAATTTAAAAAAAAAATCAAGAACAAATAAAGTAATTAATTGAAAAAAAACATTCTTTAATTACATTTACTTACCTCAATTAAGGATTACTCATTTTTTTATTGAAAAATACACATACATATGAAATTTGTATATGAAGAAAAATTCAGAAAATGATGCAAATAGATAGATAGATAGGACATGTAACTTACATTACCATTTTTCTTTTAATTCCCAGGCAAACATTTTTTTTTTTTTTTTGCCCATCGACAGCGGACACAAAAAACCACTACAAGCGGACACTATGGCGGAATACAGAGGATTTGAAGTACACTCACTGGCAAAGAGCTGAAGATGACTGGCGACATCGAAGGTGATATTGGCCGCGTTGAGCACGATCCACGGGAGGAGCTTCGAAATCGGCCTACTCCTGGCCATGCTGTTCGCGGACTGGACTCCAGCAGCCTGGAGGGGGGAGGGGTGCTTCCCGATGGGGGGAACTTGAAGGCAACCCGGCTAGTGGAAGTGACAGTGCTAATGCATATCGAAAGCATTGTAGCCCACGGAAAAGTTAATATTACACACCCCTAACACAGTAAATATTATTGAAGCAATTATAAAATTAGGGAAAAACACATGATATCCAAAAAAAAAAAAAAAAGTCTGACAAGTAAGGTCCGTATAGCTTCCTCATCGTTTTCATTGGCTAAAATATTACAAGGTATACAATTTTTCGTATGAGTATAAAATCTCTGGTAGAAGCCGATTCGGAAATACAGATACCCTTCAACATTTGCGGGTTTGATATCCATGAATTTCGTTTATCAGCTAATATTAAAATGCGAAAGAGTGCCGTATTTGAAGATTCTATATTTGATTATCCTTAATTAAAAAAAAAAAATACAATGCATACTGAACAAGCATATCACTACTGTTAGCGCAAAAGATCGTATGTAAAAATTGCTTGTTTTACGAGAGAGCATAAAACTCAGTATTTCTTTATGCTATTATTGGTATAATTTCATATTTTATTGCTCTCTGCTATTTTCCATAGTAGCAGACTCGTTATATCAGATGCGGACTACAATATGTCATCTTTAGCACAAATAGAATAAAAGTTGAACATTTTTAAGATATATACTTAATAGGTATGTTTTCACTCGTAAAATGGAAGAGAAAGAAAATCCATAGGAAAAATTCAACTTGTTGTTTGTTCGGAGTTAACGTGACCAATACTTACCTTCTGACAGAACAAAACGCTTTAAGCTAGAAAATATAAAAATATGGGTATAGTTCACATAAATTCGATATTTAAGGAGGAAATCGAGACCGAGAATAACTGATTTAACTTCAAAGGAAATAAGCACAGTTACATTTAAGAAGTTGTTTTTTCTACAAACTCAAGAGTATAAATTAATTTACATGGATTGAACTTTCTGGAATTCGGCTCATTTAACTTTAAAACCCCCTTATTCCAATTTCTAATCACAAAACTATCAGGAACCAAGTAATCTAACCATGTACTAATAGTTTATGGGCCAGATCTCCCAACCGTGCACCTCTCCCTCCACGTTCCTATAAATTGAGTTTAGTTGTGTTCCTTGTACCTATTTATTAAAAAAAAAAAATAATGTTCCCACAAAAAAAGTGATCGCGCTGCCTCAAAATGGCGTCCAAACATGGCAAACTGACGACTTTGACTTTAGTTAGTATTTTGGTCTCTGAGAATAAGAATTTTGTCATAGTTGGTCTTTTATTAAAGCTGAATAGTCAGAAAATAATAATTGGTTTAGGCAATAAAAAACACCAGTAAAGTCAATTTAAAAAAAAAAAAATTCAAGTTGAAAATCAAGCGTCGTTTGTAATTAAACGGCCAACAATAACGCAAAACGTGCTGAAATAAAACATCTGGAGAATTATTTATCTTTCTAAAACACTGATTACTTTTTGAAATATTTGAAGTGGCAGAAAAGCGGTGCTGGCGTAGGTGCCTTCAGGCCTCTACCACACCATTCAGTACTCATAAATGGCTTAGTTATAGCGCTATATTAACGTTTTTGTTACGTTATAATGATTGCATTAACGAACCCGGCAATGATTAATGCAATAATTTAATTGTCAAATCCATTAAATTTTTTTTAAAATTTATTATTATCATTTTTTTTTTAATTTACTATCATTTAAAAAAAAAATAATTTCCTTTATTCTATACGGAGCTCTTTTAAGAAGGTCTCTATTGGAAAAATAATGTAATTATAAAAATAAATCTTAATTCAAAACTACTTTGCTGAATATCTTTATTTTTTCTTTAACGTTTGCAATTTAACATTTTCATTTATATATTTACTGATTATTAGAGGTAATTTAAATTGTATATACTTTACCGGAAATGAGTCATATTAATACCGGTTTATAAACTAAAATAATATATACCAAGTCTGAACTACATGTAATGAATAGTTGATGTATTAAGTATAGTAAAACTCATATATCACTAATAAAAAAAAATTTATTTCCTTCATTTTGTTCGGAAGTTGGACCATTTCCAAATTTTAATATTGAATGCTTTAAAGTAGGGAGGTCTGGCCCATCTTCCATAAATTATGCCTTAAGTTATGTACAAAGTTATGTACTAAGTACTTTCTCCTTGTATTACTTAGGAGCTTGCATATATATATTTCATAACTCTTTTCATACCAAGAAAGTTCCTTAAAATGGCTTAGGGCAGTTTAAGGACAAAGCAACAAAATTTATATATGTATATATTGCATGTACTTATATTGTAATAGTTTTATAATAAAATGGAGGATAAGAAAAACCATGACAGTTCAACCACCCTAACGCTCTCGAACTGCCATAATATTTATGTTTTGAATATATATATATATATATATATATATATATATATATATTATAAATTGCCTGTAAACAATTAATGGAGATTTTAAAAAAAAAACATGACAGTGAAAGTCATTTTATTTATTTATTGTCTTGCCATCCTTGCTACATATGATTTAATTTTTACCGCGATAGAATACATTAATGTTTATCTTTATGTTTGTTTAGTTCTAAACAACTAGTAAATATGCGCAAATTATAAATAATGGCATGTACAGGCTTGAAGAGATACTACCCAGTGGAAGCACTCTCTAAACAACTTTAAGTAAGAAGATCACGAGGCCATCTCCTTTTCAGACGCCTAGGAGGATTATCAGGAATCGAGAAAGAAGCAAGAGTGGAAACAAGTGGATTCGGATGGGACTGAAGTTTATCATGAAAGGATAGATATCTGGCTCGAGCTAAATCAGCGACATATGGTACACTAAGGTCTTTATGAATGGTTTTATTTGTGACAAAGTATGGATCATTAAGGATTTTACGGAGGATTTTGGATTGTAAGGATTGGATACGATAGGAATTCGATGGTTTAGTGGAGCCCCAAAGCTCAATTCCATATGTCCATATAGGTCTTATTATAGTTATGTAGATGAGTCTTTTGTAATTAATCGAAAGGCTGGAGCGTTTGTCTAGTAAGTGTTGTAGCAGTCGGAAGTTCTAAACATTGAAAATAAGTTTAAAATGACGGTTTTGGGGTAAAAACGCGTTATCCGACTTAATAATTTTAGTTAATAAGACGCATTGATAATTTTAATTAGGAATGTCGGATATATTTGTATCAGCGTAAAATTTCCTATAAGAATCTTGCAGAACTTTGTCCATTTCGATCATTCACTCGAAGCACAGTGCAACGATTGCCTCAACGTCCAGCACAAATAGCAAAGTAGTTAGAAAGAATGAAACAATGAAGTAATCCTAAATTATAACGAAAATTAGGACTCCTGCCATATTGGATTTAGTACCATTTAGTAGAATTAAATAAAAAATACATCATTTCTTAAAGGAAAGAGCATCTTTTGGAACACAAATATGTAAAATATCGATTTCAAATAAAAATAATCCTCTCTAAGTTTTGGAAATTATTTATTTGCATACCAAAGACTTCATCCAACAGTATCCTTTAATAATAGTCCATCTATCCCTGTTGAACAAAACCGCTGTGTAGGACTCCATCTGGACAAACCTCTAATTTTTAATCCTCATTTCAGACTGAAACAATAAGAAACCGCACGACGTTTCCACTACTGCTTCAGTAATTACTAGACAAACCCTTCAAGCTTCCAATTAATTACAAAAGACACTTATACTTGACTATTAAGGTCTATTTAGACTTATGAAATTGAGCTACGGGACTCCACTAAACCATCCAATTTTTCTCGTATCCAATCCTTAGAATCCAACATTCTAACAACTTTGTCACAAATAAAATCATTCCTAACGTCCTTAATGTTCTATACATTTCCGATTTGACCGAATCCTATAAACTTCAAAACTATCCGAAATTTCCAATTCATTCCTTGATAACACTCCGAGGTGTCTGAAAAGGAGATGGCCTCGCGATCTCCTGATTTAGAAACCTAATTACAGTGCTTCCGATGGGTAGTTCCTTTACAAGTTTTTTCATGTTATTGTACTCTCTATATCACATTTATTAGATGTATTTTTATTTTAATACAATTGTAAATTACATGAAAATAATGAACTATCTATGAGCAAATGTGTCCAATTTCTAATGTCATTTGTGCTTGATCACGTTTATCAAGCAGCAACTTCACAAGTTGCTTATCATTGCCCAAGCCGGTCTCATGGCCTTTCGTACTTTCGTACGAGAATCTCGGCAACCCTTCATTACTTATTGCTTCAGAAGTGCATCTGTAATACTTGTGTAATGATACCATCTAGAGGTTCGCAAATGATCGCCAATCAAACTGCACTTGTTAAAGAAAGAAAGTAAAGATTTGTTCGATACTTTACGAAATAACGCCTAGCTGAAGTATATATTTACTTATTTGCAAATTGGGTCAATATGACTAGCTTTTATTTTTAATAGCCATGATGAAAGTAGTCCCTCGCGCGGGCTCATTACCGCGTATGGGGAGCGTCCCACGGGTGGCGGATGTGGGGATGGTCGGTGGAAATTCCTTGGAAGTTCCTCCCGGCTAAGTCCGATGGACTCGCTGACCAACAATGAGAGGGGCCCTCCAGACTTGCTGGAGGGAGGGGACCTCCAGACTTGCTGGAGGTAGGGGCCCACCAGACTTGCTGGAGGGTGTGACGTAGGATTGAACGCCCTACTCACATATCTTTAGTTCACCAAACACCACAAAAAGTCATGGATCTCCCTAAGGTAAAACGCTCATTATCCGGAGGTAAACTAGTCCCCCGTTCGGGTCTCCGGGTGGGGACTGCTTTAGGGGATTCATGCCGCAAGTTGAAATATAGGGATTTAAATATTGGTACGTGGAACGTAAGAAGTTTAAACACAGCAGGGGGGCTAAAATCGGTCGCGAATGAGGTAAATGGGTACAATTTAGATGTCGTGGCTCTGCAAGAGGTTCGCTGGCCAGGGGAGGGCTCGATGAGGGAAGGAAAGTACACTATTTGGTACGGAGGAAGCGGGAATCATTGTTTGGGTACCGGGTTTCTAATTAGGAGTAGATTACTATCCGCTTTGAGGGACGTACAATTCTTTAGTGATAGAATTTCGGTAGCTACATTTCAGGGACGTTGGTTTAAAATCGCATTAA